GAGACCTGAGGAGCCTAGTGGAGGCTATCTGGCATGGAGTCCAGGAGACCTGAGGAGCCTAGTGGAGGCTATCTGGCATGGAGTCCAGGAGACCTGAAGGGCCTAGTGGAGGCTATCTGGCTACGAGTCCAGGAGACCTGAGGAGCCTAGTGGAGGCTATCTGGCATGGAGTCCAGGAGACCTGAGGAGCCTAGTGGAGGCTATCTGGCATGGAGTCCAGGATACCTGAATAACCTAGTGGAGGCTATCTGGCATGGAGTCCAGGATACCTGAAGAACCTAGTGGAGGCTATCTGGCATGGAGTCCAGGAGACCTGAGGAGCCTAGTGGAGGCTATCTGGCTACGAGTCCAGGAGACCTGAGGAGCCTAGAGGAGGCCATCTGTCATGGAGTCCAGGATACCTGAAGAACCTAGTGGAGGCTATCTGGCATGGAGTCCAGGATACCTGAAGAACCTAGTGGAGGCTATCTGGCATGGAGTCCAGGATACCTGAAGAACCTAGTGGAGGCTATCTGGCATGGAGTCCAGGATACCTGAAGAACCTAGTGGAGGCTATCTGGCATGGAGTCCAGGAGTCCTGAGGAACCTAGAGGAGGCTATCTGTCATGGAGTCCAGGATACCTGAAGAACCTAGTGGAGGCTATCTGGCATGGAGTCCAGGAGACCTGAGGAGCCTAGTGGAGGCTATCTGGCATGGAGTCCAGGAGTCCTGAGGAACGTAGTGGAGGCTATCTGGCATGGAGTCCAGGATACCTGAAGAACCTAGTGGAGGTTATCTGGCATGGAGTCCAGGATACCTGAAGAACCTAGTGAAGGCTATCTGGCATGGAGTCCAGGATACCTGAATAACCTAGTGGAGGCTATCTGGCATGGAGTCCAGGATACCTGAAGAACCTAGTGGAGGCTATCTGGCATGGAGTATAGGAGACCTGAAGAACCTAGTGGAGGCTATCTGGCATGGAGTCCAGGATACCTGAAGAACCTAGTGGAGGTTATCTGGCATGGAGTATAGGAGACCTGAAGAACCTAGTGGAGGCTATCTGGCATGGAGTCCAGGATACCTGAAGAACCTAGTGGAGGCTATCTGGCATGGAGTATAGGAGACCTGAAGAACCTAGTGGAGGCTATATGGCATGGAGTCCAGGATACCTGAAGAACCTAGTGGAGGTTATCTGTCATGGAGTCCAGGATACCTGAAGAACCTAGTGAAGGCTATCTGGCATGGAGTCCAGGATACCTGAAGAACCTAGTGGAGGCTATCTGGCATGGAGTCCAGGATACCTGAAGAACCTAGTGGAGGCTATCTGGCATGGAGTATAGGAGACCTGAAGAACCTAGTGGAGGCTATCTGGCATGGAGTCCAGGATACCTGAAGAACCTAGTGGAGGTTATCTGGCATGGAGTATAGGAGACCTGAAGAACCTAGTGGAGGCTATCTGGCATGGAGTCCAGGATACCTGAAGAACCTAGTGGAGGCTATCTGGCATGGAGTATAGGAGACCTGAAGAACCTAGTGGAGGCTATCTGGCATGGAGTCCAGGATACCTGAAGAACCTAGTGGAGGCTATCTGGCATGGAGTATAGGAGACCTGAAGAACCTAGTGGAGGTTATCTGTCATGGAGTCCAGGATACCTGAGTTAAGGATACATGTGTAGAGGAAACACACTGCTCTTACTGAGACGTAGGTTGTAGATTAATAAAAAAAGTTGCTATTGTTTACATCTTGAATAAAAGTTAGAAGACAGTTGTCTATATTAAAGAATAAGAACAAAATATATATAAGAAATTACATCAGTACGTAAGCCATCAAAATAACGATGTTAACATTGGCCTTATTAATGTAATGATGTACCTATAAAGAGATATATTTAATATATTCTCGCAGGAAGCGTTCAAGAAAACTGAAAAATGTAATAAGTGAGATTGTTCTGCTTGAGTTGGAAGGGAAATCATGTGTGAGACCTTCAACAGCCAGACTTCAAGATATATTTTGAAAAATCATTTGTTTTGGCTCTCACGGTTGCTCTTCCTCACTCGCTGCCGGAATAAACTTTTTATTTTAAATGTTTCTAAACACGGGATTCAGCAGTTAGTAGTGGAAATGTTTTTTCAGTAAATTATTGGTTCTTTACGCTTGTGTGTGTTTACTTGAGTCCAAAATAAAGTTGTGATTTCATCGGTCTGGACATTATAATAAGCATAACAGGCCAATTTTTTTATTGACTTATTCATTTTTAATGATTATATCGTTATAATTATTATTATTATTATTATTATTATTATTATTATTATTATTATTATTATTATTATTATTATTATTATTATTATTATTATTATTATTATTATTATTATTATTATTATAAACTGCAACTATTATTGCTATTATTGTTATTATTGTCATTGTTATTATTATTTGAATTGTTATTTTCTATTTTCTTTTACTGAGAAGGTTTCTGGCTGCGCCACTACCTGTCTCCTCAAAGGAGTCAAATCTATATCCAAAATAATGGAAGAAAACGTTTTTTTCAGCCTCGTTGGTTGATTCTTGTAACAGTAAGCCTGGGTTGATAAATTAGACATGTGCAACTCTTGGGTATCTTTATTGAGGAAACGTTTCGCCACACAGTGGCTTCATCAGTCCAAACCAAGGAGAATCGTGAAGAACAGGAGGAGAATAAGGTAATTAGTCCCTCAACCTTGAGTCGATGTGATCAGTCCATCAATCTTGAATAGAATACAGCATATGAGCGGAGAAGTAGCTTATATACTGTAGGCAGTAGAGGTGCAGCAGTCGTAGGTGGTGTCACACTTGACCAATGTGGAAGTAGGTCGTGCCCAAATCGTGGCCCAAGGTCGTGCCAAAGGTCGTGCACAAGGTCGTGCCCAAGGTCGTGCCAAAGGTCGTGCCCAAGGTCGTGCCCAAGGGTTAGGCAAGCGAAGAATTCCCAAGTATTAAGATCCCAAGAAGTTGCAGTGTCTGACAAGATTGTAGATGAATGGTTCAGAGAACCGACAAGTTGATGGACTGACCACATCGACTCAAAGTTGAGGGACTGATTACCTCATTCTCCTCCTGTTCTTTACGATTCTCCTTGGTTTGGACTGATGAAGCCACTATGTGGCGAAACGTTTCCTCAATAAAGATACCCAAGAGTTGCACATGCGTCTAATTTATCAACATGTCGGTTCTCTGAATCATTCATCTACAAGCCTGGGTTACCTACATCTGTCTACCTCAGTAGTACCACAAGCCTTGGTTACCTACATCTGTCTACCTCAGTAGTACCACAAGCCTTGGTTACCTACATCTGTCTACCTCAGTAGTACCACAAGCCTGGGTTACCTACATCTGTCTACCTCAGTAGTACCACAAGCCTGGGTTACCTACATCTGTCTACCTCAGTAGTACCACAAGCCTGGGTTACCTACATCTGTCACCTCAGTAGTACCACAAGCCTGGTACCTACATCTGTCTACCTCAGTAGTACCACAAGCCTTGGTTACCTACATCTGTCTACCTCAGTAGTACCACAAGCCTGATTTACCTACATCTGTTTACCTCAGTAGTACCACAAGCCTTGGTTACCTACATCTGTCTACCTCAGTAGTACCACAACCCTTTGGTTACCTACATCTGTCTCCCTCAGTAGTACCACAAGCCTGGGTTACCTACATCTGTCTACCTCAGTAGTACCACAAGCCTGGGTTACCTTCACATCTGTCTACCTCAGTAGTACCACAAGCCTGGGTTACCTACATCTGTCTACCTCAGTAGTACCACAAGCCTGGGTTACCTACATCTGTCTACCTCAGTAGTACCACAAGCCTGGGTTACCTACATCTGTCTACCTCAGTAGTACCACAAGCCTGGGTTTACCTACATCTTTTCTACCTCAGTAGTACCACAAGCCTGGGTTACCTACATCTGTCTACCTCAGTAGTACCACAAGCCTGGGTTACCTACATCTGTCTACCTCAGTAGTACCACAAGCCTGGGTTACCTACATCTGTCTACCTCAGTAGTACCACAAGCCTGGGTTACCTACATCGTCTACCTCAGTAGTACCACAAGCCTGGGTTACCTACATCTGTCTACCTCAGTAGTACCACAAGCCTGGTTACCTACATCTGTCTACCTCAGTAGTACCACAAGCCTGGTTACCTACATCTGTCTACCTCAGTAGTACCACAAGCCTGGGGTTACTACATCTGCTACCTCAGTAGTACCACAAGCCTGGGTTACCTACATCTGTCTACTCAGTAGAAACCACAACCCTGGTTACCTACATCTGTCTCCCTCAGTAGTACCACAAGCCTGGGTTACCTACATCTGTCTACCTATGTATACACAAGCCGGGGTTACCTACATCTGTCTACCTCAGTAGTACCACAAGCCTTGGTTACCTACATCTGTCTACCTCAGTAGTACCACAAGCCTGGTTACCTACATCTGTCTACCTCAGTAGTACCACAAGCCTTGGTTACCTACATCTGTCTACCTCAGTAGTACCACAAGCCTGGGTTACCTACATCTGTCTACCTCAGTAGTACCACAAGCCTGGGTTACCTACATCTGTCTACCTCAGTAGTACCACACCTTATATTAACCTTTGCAATTTATTCAAACTAAGCAGGTATTCATTATCACTTTCCATATTTTGGAAAAAAAAAAGTCTCTACATCTCAATCTTCCTGCATTAATATGGGCAATTATACTTTTAAATTCTGGTTTAAAAAATACATCTATAAATCACTTTGAATTAAGTAACAACAGGTTTACTGTAGCTTGAATTTGTCAATAAACCCAAAATTAGTGGTTATTAATAAATTAATAAAATGGCCTTGAAGAAGGTACACTTAATTTATGAAGGTGAAAAGGTCGCCAGTAGACATCATGGTTGACAAGGAAAATACATCAAGTTTCATGTCTAAAATCAGTGTGTATGTTCAAGTCACAACTTTCCATACTAATCACTATAACTTTATGGTGTTCCCACAGATGTGCCGATGTGCGCGCAGGAGCGCAGGATGGTGACAGCAGTGGAGGGGGAGGTGGTGACGCTACAGTGTACAGTGGATGCTTACCCAGCTAACCTGACCTTCAACTGGCTCTTCAACAACACTGTGGACTCCACCAGCTTCAGGCCCGGTGAGGTGAGACTCTGGTCACACTGACTCTGCTAACTCACAGTAAGGAACCGTCAAGGACACCACACTCTTGATTCTACTGAGATGAATCTTGAGCCAAGGAGTGAGGCTATACTAGTGTCATGGGTCTTGATCCTAAGAGACCCTTGATACTAGTGAGACAGCTCTTGTTACAAGCAGAGAGAGCCTTGATATTAGTGAGACGACTCTTGATACAAGCAGAGAGAGCCTTGATACTAATGAGACGGCTCCTGATACAAGCAGAGAGAGCCTTGATACTGGTGAGAGGGCTCTTGATAAAAGGGGTTAAAGTTAGCTGTCACAGTCAAGCACTGACTTCTCCCAGGCTGAGTGATCTCTTTGTGTGACTAGTGCCACTCTACCCCCATAGTGCCACTCTATCCCCAGAGTGCCACTCTACCCTTCAGAGTGCCACTCTACCCTCAAGAGTGCCACTCTACCCACAGAGTGCCATTCTATCCTCCAGAGTACCACTCTACCCTCCAGAGTGCCACTCTATCCTCCAGAGTACCACTCTACCCTCCAGAGTGCCACTCTACCTTCCAGAATGCCACTCTACCCTCCAGAGTGCCACTCTACCCTTCAGAGTGCCACTCTACCAACGCTACTAACGCTAGACGCCGATGCGGGGCGCCAAGGCATTAGACCAGTGTGGTACGGTGGTAGAGCACTGCCTACCTTGTTGCAAGGTGCGTAGGTTCGAATCCCCTTCGACCAAAGATATATATGTATATATAAATATATATATATTATATATATATATATATTATATATATATTATATATATATATATATATATAATTTTTTTCCTTTAATTAATGAAGTACTGTAAAATCATTGCTGGTAAGTATATATAAAACAATAAATCCTTAACCGACTAAACAGCTTACGAAGTGGAAGTGAAGATGAAAACCGACCACAAGCAGGTCACAAAAGTCACAAAGGTCACAAAGGTCAGAAAGATATTCCTTGACATGACCAGGAGAATCACACTGAGAGTCGGACACTTGCGTCATAAGAGGCGCTCACATACACGCTTCAGTGAGAGTAAATAAAGAACAAGAGCACTCACACGAACCCTTAAGGGGCACGTAAGTTCCTCCGTCTTAAGGGGCACGTAAGTTCCTCCGTCTTAAGGGGCACGTAAGTTCCTCCGTCTTAAGGGGCACGTAAGTTCCCCGTCTAAGGGGCACGTAAGTTCCCCCGTCTGAAGGGGCACGTAAGTTCCTCCGTCTTAAGGGGCACGTAAGTTCCTCCGTCTTAAGGGGCACGTAAGTTCCCCCGTCTGAAGGGGCACGTAAGTTCCTCCGTCTTAAGGGGCACGTAAGTTCCTCCGTCTTAAGGGGCACGTAAGTTCCTCCGTCTTAAGGGGCACGTAAGTTCCTCCGTCTTAAGGGGCACGTAAGTTCCTCCGTCTAAGGGCACGTAAGTTCCTCCGTCTGAAGGGGCACGTAAGTTCCTCCGTCTTAAGGGGCACGTAAGTTCCCCCGTCTTAAGGGGCACGTAAGTTCCTCCGTCTTCTAATTACATGTTCATTTCTCCACTATAATCTACTTATTCGACACAACTGGTAACTACTTACGTAAGTTATACCATGAATTATGGAAAGATCCTGGACTTCACCTTACGATGCAGATAAAGCAAATGTGATAATAATTATGGACAAGGTAGATTATAGTGGACAAATAATAACTGCTTAGGTAAGTTTTCCTGCAGAGGTTGCAGAAGGGATTGTAGCAGCATCTACTTACACTCGTGCTGTAGTAAGAATGACACTTTTCACACCATACCCCGGCCGGGATTGAACCCGCGGTCAGAGAGTCTCAAAACACTTGTCACTTACGAAGTTATAAACGTGTAAAGATGAACAATTAATTTGTAATTCGGAGTGAAAATTTTAGTGTCATGAGAATAGAGGTCGGTTTGTTGGTTTATTTGGGTTGACTGTTTAATGGCTATTAAGACTCAAGTCACTTTTATACTCCTAATAAAAAATGCTGAATCCCATAAAAAGGGTATTAAATATGTTCTTAAAAACATGTATACGTAGATTAAAACACATTGGTGTACTTACCTGGAAAGAAAGTGAAACACTTCACTGGACCAGTTGAGCGAAATAATGAGATGTGCAGCTGCGTTTTTCAAAGTGCTTCGTTTAAATAAAACTTGAACTAATGCACCTCTTTTGTAGTACACTGTGACTGGCTCCATGTCCAGGCTTCGTTACGTAGCCTACTCTGCCAGGGACTACGGCACAGTCTTCTGCTGGGCCTCTAACATCGTGGGTCACCAGAAAGATCCTTGCGCCTTCACACTTCAGCCCGCAGGTACAGTAGATAATATCTCCCGTTGTTATGTTGTAATTATTTGTTTTTGTTTAAACACTGAAAAGGTCATTATATTACAAAGGCAAATGATAGCAGACACTTTCCTGACAACAAGTATCTCTACCTGCTGGTGGTTCATCCCCCAAGCATTTGTTCTGCTTGTGGGGTCAACATACAAGTTGACCCCACATGCTGCTGCTCCTTCCTCACAATCTTGTGTCACTGGAAGGTACGAAAATACAGAATGTCTCTTTATATATATATATATATATATATATATATATATATATATATATATATATATATGAAACCTCTGAACAAGTGGTTTTGAATCATTTACCCAACTACGGCAGGCCAGGATTCGACCCCACGACACATTGTCCCGCGTCATGAGCCCACACAATGTACATCACCCTACCATCTGAGCCATCGATGGTGTTTGCATCCATTACTTTTCTATGTTTGAATGTCACTCTAAACTAATATATGGGTAGTATGTGCTAACATTTACATAGGTAACATGTATAATTAGGAATAACTGCAACAATTCCTAATAGCTAATGCTTATAGCTTTCTCAAGCTAGCAGAAAACAGTTGCATTACTTGCTAGTTTCACGTACTTCTATTTAATCTTCTCCTCTAGCCAAACGTCCTTAAAATAGTGTATTACTCTATCCGTAAAATTATGATTTTTTCTATTTGCTAGTAGAAATCAGAGTACATGTTATTCCTACCATGTTAAACATTACAGAAATTTAGCAATATATTAACATGCTTTATTTATGTGTTAGTTGTATAATAAATGTTGGCTGTCGACTGTCATCATTATATACATGATGGTTGATAAGCTTACACACGGTGTTCCTTGCTCACTCTGTCTCAGGTGCTCCTGACAGCGTCAGAGATTGTGTACTGACCAATCAGTCAGTGGGATCACTACACATCACCTGTCAGCCAGGAGCTGACGGTGGACTGACACAGACCTTCAGGTGAGTCAGCACCACACCCTTACATCGTCACTGTCAGCCAGGAGCTGACGGTGGACTGACACAGACCTTCAGGTGAGTCAGCACCACACCCTTACATCGTCACTGTCAGCCAGGAGCTGACGGTGGACTGACACAGACCTTCAGGTGAGTCAGCACCACACCCTTACAGCGTCACTGTCAGCCAGGAGCTGACGGTGGACTGACACAGACCTTCAGGTGAGTCAGCAACACACTGTCACAGCGACACTGTCAGCCAGCAGCTGACAGTGACGCTGCTGCTGATAATAACCTTGAAACCTTCTTGAATAATGATTAAGTTTTTCCAAAAATATTCCAAATTATATTTTGATCGACTACGAAGTTTTTTTTTTTTTTTCGGGGGGGGGGGGGGAATAGATTTAAATTTTCTCTCAAGTATATTTCATTAAGGCAGCTAATTGGTGAGGAAATTTCCAGAACATAGAAAAAAACATTGTCACGAGTTGTTGTTCATTTATAAGGAAATTTGTAAGTGATATATGTATGTAAGTGATATATGTATGTAAGTGATATATGTATATAAGTGATATATGTATATAAGTGATATATGTATATAAGTGATATATGTATATAAGTGATATATGTATATAAGTGATATATGTATATAAGTGATATATGTATGTAAGTGATATATGTATATAAGTGATATATGTATATAAGTATTACAAAAAAGTAATTTTTAAAAGGAGAGAGATTAGATTTACTTCTTTTGTAATAAAGAGTTCGGGATACATAAATACACACATTAATAAATTAATCTTTAATATATGAAAATCAACTATCTTTGGTCTAGAGGTATTTGAACTATGATATAATAATAATATGTACATGTTACTATAATAAATTATAATCAGCATTTTACTAAAATAAATAATTAATAACCCTACACAGGGTACAACTCTTGACACTACTGTCACTATATATATATATCTCTATGCTAAAACAATAAATTATAAATAACATTTTTATAATAATAAATTACAATCAACTGCCTCTCACGACACGAAGTCAGTCACACGACACTGTTCAGTGTACACTACAACCAGGCCATCTTCAGTGTCCCACGACACCCTTTTCATCTCAGTGTTCCACTACGGTCCTGTGCATATCTCAGTGTTCCACTCCATCGTACGTCCCTCAGTGTCACACTACGGTCCTGGCCCAGTTCAGTGTAACACTCCAACCTTTTCTTCATGTAATGTCCCACTAAACAGCATCTGACGACTCCGGCCCACAGTTGATCAACGTAGACGGTGAGTCCACAGACATCACCGGTAGTCCAGTAAATCCTCTCCAAAGGCGGTTGACACACCGCTAGCCGAACACCATGCTGCAAGCTCACTGAATGCGGCCGTCAAGTAACTGAGGCCAACAGACTCAGTGAGCTGCGGTGAGCGGTTCTTCTAACGCCAGTAGATAGGTACGATTCGGTGGTCAGGTACCTACTGCATAGACGTGTACCCTGAGGAGTTCAGGTACTTAATGTTGAAGCCAGTAGACGTGTACCCTTCGGTGGTCAGGTACCTACTGCTTAGGTGTGTACAGCGAGGCGCTCAGGTACATAATATTTCTAAAGCCAGTAGACGTGTACCCTTCGGTGGTCAGGTACCTACTGCTTAGGTGTGTACAGCGAGGCGCTCTGGTACATACTGTTACTAAAGCCAGTAGACGTGTACCCTTCGGTGGTCAGGTACCTACTGCTTAGGTGTGTACAGCGAGGCGCTCTGGTACATACTGTTACTAAAGCCAGTAGACGTGTACCCTTCGGTGGTCAGGTACCTACTGCTTAGGTGTGTACCGTGAGGCACTCAGGCTCTTACTGCTCTAAGGCCGGCTCAGCAGCCCCCACATTGGGTTTGACGACGTACCCAGTGGTACTGCCGGCCGGCAGGTTAACTATTTAACCGCTAGTTTGGCAGGGGCCGCAACAATAAGTGATATATGTATGTAAGTGATATATGTATATAAGTGATATATGTATATAAGTGATATATGTATGTAAGTGATATATGTATGTAAGTGATATATGTATATAAGTGATATATTCTCCTGTTCATTAATAAAAAATCAACGTTTCTTGGCTGGGTTGTCTTCTCTGTTGGTTCTGAAATAACTTTATTCAACTTTTGGCATCATGCATCTGGTAGTCAGGCACCTAGCTGTCCTGCCTGTGGCACCTGGTTGTCCTGCCTGTGGCACCTGGCTCTCCCGCCAGTAGCACCTGGTTGTTATGCCTGTGGCACCTGGCTATCCTGCCTGTGGCACCTGGCTGTCCTGCCTGTGACACCTGGCTGTCCTGCCTATGGCATCTGAGTGTCCTGCTGTGGCATTGGCTGTCTTGCCTACGGCACCTGGCTGTCCTGCCTGTGGCAACTGGTTGTCCTGCCTGTGGCACCTAGCTGTCCTGCCTGTGGCACCTAGCTGTTCTGCCTGTGGCACCTAGTTGTCCTGCCTGTGGCACCTAGCTGTCCTGCCTGTTGCATCTCCTTGTCCTGCCTGTGGCACCTGGCTGTCCTGCCTGTGGCACCTGGTTGTCCTGCCTGTGGCACTGGCTGTCCTGCCTCTGTCAAATCGCTGTCCTGCCTGTGGCACCTGGTCGTCCTGCCTGTGGCACCTGGTTGTCCTGCCTGTGGCACTGGCTGTCCTGCCTGTGGCACCTAGTTGTCCTGCCTGTGGCACCTAGCTGTCCTGCCTGAGGCACCTAGTTGTCCTGCCTGTGGCACCTAGCTGTCCTGCCTGTGGCATCTGGTTGTCCTGCCTGTGGCACCTAGCTGTCCTGCCTGTGGCATCTGGTTGTCCTGCCTGTGGCACCTGGCTGTCCTGCCTGTGGCACCTGGCTGTCCTGCCTGTGGCACTGGCTGTCCTGCCTTTGGCACCTGGTTGTCCTGCCTCTGTCAAATCGCTGTCCTGCCTATGGCCCCTGGCTGTCCTGCCTGTGGCACCTTGTTGTCCTGTCTGTGGCACCTAGCTGTCCTGTCTGTGGCACCTAGCTGTTCTGCCTGTGGCACCTAGCTGTCCTGCCTGTGGCACCTAGCTGTTCTGCCTGTGGTACCTGGCTGTCCTGCCTGTGGCACCTGGTTGTCCTGCCTGTGGCACCTGCCTGTCATGCGTGTGACACCTGGTTGTCCTGCCTGTGGAACCTGGCTGTCCTGCCTGTGGCACCTGGCTGTCCTGCCTGTGGCACCTGCTTGTCCTGCCTGTGGCATCTGGTTGTCCTGCCTGTGGCACCTAGTTGTCCTGCCTGTGGCGCCTGGCTGTCCTGCCTGTGGCACCTGGCTGCCCTGCCTGTGGCACCTGGCTGTCCTGCCTGTGGCACCTGGGTGTCCTGCCTGTGGAACCTGGCTGTCCTGCCTGTTGCACCTGGCTGTCCTGCCTGTGGCACCTGGTTGTCCTGCCTGTGGCATCTGGTTGTCCTGCCTGTGGCACCTGGTTGTCCTGCCTGTGGCACCTGGCTGTCCTGCCTGTGGAACATGACTGTTCTGCCTGTGGCAACTGGCTGTCCTGCCTGTGGCACATGCTTGTCCTGCCTGTGGCATCTGGTTGTCCTGCCTGTGGCACCTAGTTGTCCTGCCTGTGGCACCTGGTTGTCCTGCCTGTGGCACCTGGCTGTCCTGCCTGTGGAACCTGGCTGTCCTGCCTGTGGTACCTGGCTGTCCTGCCTGTTGCACCTGCTTGTCCTGCCTGTGGCATCTGGTTGTCCTGCCTGTGGCACCTGGCTGTCCTGCCTGTGGTACCTGGCTGTCCTGCCTGTTGCACCTGCTTGTCCTGCCTGTGGCATCTGGTTGTCCTGCCTGTGGCACCTGGCTGCCCTGCCTGTGGCACCTGGCTGTCCTGCCTGTGGCACCTGGGTGTCCTGCCTGTGGCACCTGGCTGTCCTGCCTATGGCACCTGGCTGTCCTGCCTGTGGCACCTGGCTGTCCTGCCTGTGGCACCTGGGTGTCCTGCCTGTGGCACCTGGTTGTCCTGCCTGTGGCACCTGGTTGTCCTGCCTGTGGCACCTGTGTGTCCTGCCTGTGGCACCTGGTTGTCCTGCCTGTGGCACCTGGCTGTCCTGCCTGTGGCACCTGGTTGTCCTACCTGTGGCACCTGGTTGTCCTGCCTGTGGCACCTGGCTGTCCTGCCTGTGGCACCTGGTTGTCCTACCTGTGGCACCTGGCTGTCCTGCCTGTGGTACCTGGCTGTCCTGCCTGTTGCACCTGCTTGTCCTGCCTGTGGCATCTGGTTGTCCTGCCTGTGGCACCTGGCTGTCCTGCCTGTGGTACCTGGCTGTCCTGCCTGTTGCACCTGCTTGTCCTGCCTGTGGCATCTGGTTGTCCTGCCTGTGGCACCTGGCTGCCCTGCCTGTGGCACCTGGCTGTCCTGCCTGTGGCACCTGGGTGTCCTGCCTGTGGCACCTGGCTGTCCTGCCTATGGCACCTGGCTGTCCTGCCTGTGGCACCTGGCTGTCCTGCCTGTGGCACCTGGGTGTCCTGCCTGTGGCACCTGGTTGTCCTGCCTGTGGCACCTGGTTGTCCTGCCTGTGGCACCTGTGTGTCCTGCCTGTGGCACCTGGTTGTCCTGCCTGTGGCACCTGGCTGTCCTGCCTGTGGCACCTGGTTGTCCTGCCTGTGGCACCTGGGTGTCCTGCCTGTGGCACCTGGCTGTCCTGCCTGTGGCACCTGGTTGTCCTGCCTGTGGCACTTGGCTGCCCTGCCAGTGGCACCTGGCTGTCCTGCCTGTGGCACCTGGTTGTCCTGCCTGTGGCACCTGGCTGTCCTGCCTGTGGCACCTGGTTGTCCTACCTGTGGCACCTGGCTGTCCTGCCTGTGGCACCTGGTTGTCCTACCTGTGGCACCTGGCTGTCCTGCCTGTGGCACCTGGCCTCCTCGACCTCCTCATGGACGCACCGACCAGGGATCCTCTCCACTGCTGCAACTTCTTCAGAAAGTTTTAGCGGCAACTTTTTCCTGAGAGTGTTTCGTATAT